ATTTTTCAACTGTGCAGTATATTTATTCAAGTAGTGGTATCCCAAACTTTCACAGCAGCTTATTTCCCTTCACACCAACATTATGTAAACTCCCCCCCCCCCCCCCCCCCCCCCGTGCCGGTCCAGTACATCATTTCATGCTACATCATTTTATGCTAATTCCTTTGTCAAGGCGTTTTTTATTTCCTCCCCCACACATCAAAGGATGCGACCTGGGCTTGGCTGTCTTCACTCCAACGCTGTCCTTTGGACAGTCCGGTCCCTTCACCTGATGAAGGCCACTTGTGTTGTGGCCGAAACGTCGTGATTTTTGTTGTTTTATTTTTTACCTACGTGACTTTACCGAATAGAACCAAAGAGTATAGATTATAAGTGATATAATTCAGATCTAAAACTATACAATGTTGATCAAGAGGCTGGTATATTTTCACTCAAAGTATTTTTAGTATATATAAAAAAATTACATATATACATTTGCAGTATATTATGTATAATATATGTAATGTTTTATATATAGTGTATAAATATCATGCTACATGTACGATCAAGGTATGAAAATGAGCGATACAAAATTTTCACGATGCATATATGTGGTATAATACGTGGGGGGGGGGGCAAGGTCTGGGTAGGGGGACAGAGGGGGGACGGGGAGTGGTGGCACAGTGGTGAGCACACCGTGCGATATGCCCCGCGACATTAATTGGATCCCGGGGGGACACGGCTAACATTGATGGCGAGCGATCTCTCTAATCCGCACCCGTCCTAGGCCGCTCCAGCATCGTCGCTGGCCTGCACGGGCCATTGTGGCGCAGTACGGTTGGACAACACAACCATAATTGGCATGGCGTGGGGAGGTCTTTCTCCAGCAGTGGACTGACTGCAAAGGGCTTTGAATTGTTGACAAAGGGATTTGCCAATCGCTATAGTAATGGCAATTGGAGATTGATATCAGAACTGGTATAGCTCTCCCCCACCACCTCCCTCCACGGACCCAAACTGACCGGCGTGGTGAAGTATGGTCAAACAACCCCCATACTAACGTGGCGGAGGCAGGCTGCCATCCATTTGTGGATTCGTAATGGCAGGGATGTTGTTTTACGCGCTTACTGTTATACGTGCACAGAATATGTACGTTGGAGAATTACGTGAGACATTCCACTGACTCGTGTTCAATGCCTGGCAATGCACAATGCTGCTGGGCAATTGGCGGAGTGGCTCTTCATCGGCGTCCAGCCCTTTGGGGGCACTGAGCAGAGATTATCCGGCGGGTGCGTTGAACGTTTGACGCGCGGGGAAGGCTACGTAACTGAACGACGTCGCAGTAAAAGTCTGGGATTTGGCGACGCCGCAATATGACAATGTAACATCTGCGACGATCCTACAAGCCCGTCTTGCTGACGTATCGTCTTGAGATTAACGTTGCTCGCGTAGCTAAGAGTGCTAGGTTAATAACTGCTCAAAAAAAGTTTTACCGAGTAATTGACGGCACGCTACTTATAGGAATATGATAATTTTCACAATTAAATTAACCCTTTAATATTTTTCGTGTGTGCACGTTTGTTACCCTACATCACCCCCCCCCCCCCAGCACGCACCTCCGATTAGCATGGTTGGCTACGTACGGTGCGAAAGAAGTTCAACTTTACGTACGGTACGTAAGCGTTCGAGGTTTTAAAGCGCCCGGGTCGACACGATGACATCGCCAAACACGATTTTACAACGCCAAGGGAAACTGGTACCGCGGTCCTCGGCGTATGGTGAAACTATTTGTATGGCGTAGCACCGTGAGAAAGGACATCGAGGAAAACGACGGAAGGGATTTGGGGTAATTAGACACCTTAAGGAGGCTTGATCGCGCTGAACGTGTCTTAATCTTCCTCTACTAAAAATCTCTCTCCGTCTGTGTGGTTGGACTTGGCAAGGTGGTGGTGGTGGTGATGGAAACGCCGAGGGAATTACGTTCGACTGGTCCGTTTTTAAAATGTTCCAACAACAACAACAAAATGCTGGGAGGGAAGAAAAATGGCACGGAGGGCAACGAAATTAAACAAAATGACAACAAAAAGTTATAAGCCGAAGATAACGCCTCGGAAACGTGAACGTATATACATTAATAGGATTGCGGTTATGTTTATTGTGCCGTAGTGGTTAAAGTTGTTTGGTACACAGTAGTAAAATAGATTCGTATTTAGTTTACTAAAATACAGTATATAATTACACGAGTGAAGTAAAACGCCGCGGATAAATGCACAGGGCATCTCCGTTCGCCGTCGAAAACTAATAATCATAATAATAGCAACCGTATTGAACCGCAATAGGGGAACCCATGCGTTGGGGGGGAACGAATGAACAGAGGACGATTTGGCGACTGTCAAGCGGACTCGGTCGATAAGCTGCATCGATGCGCGCAAGTGAACAAATTCAAACGCGGGTGAGGGCGTCGGCGCGATGCATCATCATCGTCTCTCTCTATTTATTCCTCTTCGCTCATTGCTTCTTCTTTTTTTTGTTCCACGCAAATTGTCACGAGTCAAATTAGCCTTGCCAAAAAAAGTTACGCTCGGCCCATCGGCAGGTGGGACTCGGCCGGGGGTAAAAGCCTGGGTTGCCCCCCGCCGCTCTCGCGAGACGTTTGCGCCGGTGTGGAAGCTTAGGCCAAGATACCTCTCGAAGGGCGGAGGTGGGGGGGGGGGGCTCTCTCGATCTCCCTCTAGTGGAGGCCGTTGCGCCAACAGCGGCGTGAGCGGGCATTTGCAGGGTCGCTCCTTTAACCTATTTCTTTTGTACCATTTATAAAAAAAGTTGTCTTTACCAGCATTCAGGTACAGGGGGATAGGGGGTGGGGCGGAATTTTTTTTTTCATTATCCACAGCAGTTGGCAAGCACAATTCAACAATTAACATTACCAGTCACACCTGTAATGGGGGGGGGGGGGGGGGGGCTCTATGTTGCAACACCTACGCAGCCGCACGCCCTCCAGTTTGGTGCGCGTGGCTCTGGGCCTCGTCCCGACGCAAAAGCTCGTGCGCATCCATCGCTGCACCGAAACGCAAGCCCCTCCCCCCGCTCCCGTCCCCCCCTCCCGGCTCCTCCTCCCCCTCCGGACAAATGTAGAGTACGACGCCGTACGTCACGGGTCTGGGCGAGTCCCGGCGACCCGGGGCGAGAACTGAGAGTGGACGGCGACGGAAAGCCGTCGTCATCGGGGGGGGGCAAGGTCACGGAGGTCGCCGCTGCGGATCAACTATGCAGCGGCTGCGGCAGCTGGTGGCGGGGGAGGGGGGGGTCTATGGGGAGCATTGGTGGTGGTGCTGGTGGTGGTGCTGGTGGTGGTGGCAGTGACTGCGGATTTCGCCTTGACGGTGACATCTTGATCATATTTCGTGCGATTGGGGGGTGGCGGGGGAGGGTAGTTCTGGTGTGGAGGGAGGGACGGAAGAGCCTATTGTTTGTGTCTTGTCCGTGAAAACAACTCCCTCCTAAGCTGGACCGCACTGTGACTCGTGAAGCGATGCAGAGAATTGGACCGGACAAAACTGGAAAGTTTATATCCCGTTTCCAGGAGGCTTCTTTGCAATTCGTGGCAAGTCGCCCGATTTGAAGCTGCTTGTTTGTTGCGATCGCCGGCGGAAAGCGTCACGGCACTCAAAGTGTCGAATGGTGTGGGCCTGCTCTGCAAACGCGACCGGTGAGCTCAAGTAGCTAACAAATTGGCACGTTTTGTTTACGGGACAAACCTTACTTGATTGGCCCTGTCGGGTGGGCGGTGGGTGAACGACACATTTATAATTTACGCGATGTCACCCAAGGAAAAAAACTTTTGTGATGAATAAGAGTGGTCGCGAAAATCCACGTGTTAAACCGAGCAAAGCAAGATGTAGCACCCCAAGCAGCTCAAGTCGGGGCCCCAGATGCACAAACAACACTTGGAAGTGCATCAAAAACATCAGCTGAAATTCAGATCCTAAATAAATACAACCGGCCCGAGTTAATCTCACCTCTCACCTCACTATATTTTAATCTACTGCTCTCTCATCTCACCACATCGCGTCAAATCTCTCGTCGACGTCTCGTCTGCCAATCTCCTCCCGCCCCCCCCCCTGCCACCCCTCCCTCCCGGCCCCCCAAAAACGCTCGCCGAGTCACATCAGCGAGCGCGTGATGTGACGCTGAGTGAGATTGGCGAGCGTGTGATGTGACGCCGAGTGGGATTGGCGAGCATGTGATGTGACGCCGTGTGAGATTGGCGAGCGTGTGATGTGACGCCGTGTGAGATTGGCGAGCGTGTGATGTGACGCCGAGTGGGATTGGCGAGCGTGTGATGTGACGCCGTGTGAGATTGGCGAGCGTGTGATGTGACGTCGAGTGAGATTGGCGAGCGTGTGATGTGACGTCAAGTGAGATTGGCGAGCGTGTGATGTGACGTCGAGTGGGATTGGCGAGCGTGTGATGTGACACCGAGTGACATCGGCGAGCGTGTGATGTGACGCCGAGTGAGATTGGCGAGCGTGTGATGTGACGCCGTGTGAGATTGGCGAGCGTGTGATGTGACGCCGAGTGAGATTGGCGAGCGTGTGATGTGACGTCGAGTGAGATTGGCGAGCGTGTGATGTGACACCGAGTGACATCGGCGAGCGTGTGATGTGACGCCGAGTGGGATTGGCGAGCGTGTGATGTGACGCCGAGTGAGATTGGCGAGCGTGTGATGTGACGCCGTGTGAGATTGGCGAGCGTGTGATGTGACACCGAGTGAGATTGGCGAGCGTGTGATGTGACGCCGAGTGGGATTGGCGAGCGTGTGATGTGACGCCGAGTGAGATTGGCGAGCGCATGATGTGACGCCGAGTGAGATTGGCGAGCGTGTGATGTGACGCTGAGTGAGATTGGCGAGCGTGTGATGTGACGCCGAGTGAGATTGGCGAGCGTGTGATGTGACGCCGAGTGAGATTGGCGAGCGTGTGATGTGACGCCGAGTGGGATTGGCGAGCGTGTGATGTGACGTCAAGTGAGATTGGCGAGCGTGTGATGTGACGCCGTGTGAGATTGGCGAGCGTGTGATGTGACACCGAGTGAGATTGGCGAGCGTGTGATGTGACGTCGAGTGAGATTGGCGAGCGTGTGATGTGACGCCGAGTGAGATTGGCGAGCGTGTGATGTGACGCCCAGTGAGATTGGCGAGCGTGTGATGTGACGCCCAGTGGGATTGGCGAGCGTGTGACGTGACGCCGAGTGGGATTGGCGTGCGCGTGATGTGACACCGAGTGAGATTGGCGAGCGTGTGATGTGACGTCGAGTGAGATTGGCGAGCGTGTGATGTGACGCCGAGTGGGATTGGCGAGCGTGTGACGTGACGCCGAGTGGGATTGGCGTGCGCGTGATGTGACGCCGAGTGAGATTGACGAGCGTGTGATGTGATGCCGTGGCAGCAGCAGCGTGCGGCAGCGGCTGCTGTCTCCTCTTTTTTGTTGTTTCGCTGCCTTCCGCGCCTGTCCCCGGCCCGAAGGCCGTGGATCGCCTGGGCGGCGACAGCGGCCGCTCTCTGTCCAAGGCAGCCGCTGGCACCGTCACTTCTGCAGGGACTTGAGAATCGCGTTCACCTCCTCGGCCACGGCAGTGAGCGCGAAGGCGAACTGCTCCTGGAACACGCGCAGACGCACGGGATCGTTCGCGATTCATCGTCCGAGTCCTCATCGGCCACGATCCATCCCGCCGCTGGATGAAGGCCTACCCAAGTGGCCGTCATCGCGTCGTCGTCGTCATCATTGATTGTTCGTGCCGTGCCTCCCCTTGCGGTACAAGTCGAGGAGCAATGAACAAATGGGATGTTGGAGATGATCATTGCACGCACGCAGCAGCATACAATCACAATTAACCACCTTCAAGCAGCAGCTCAAGGCTCTCACCACGTTCAGGCTCTCACCCTGTTCATGCCGTCACCCGTTCAGGCCGTTGTCACCCTTTCAGGCCGTCACCCGTCCAGGTTGTTGTACGAACATTATGTCCAATTCGCCAAATATGTGCACGCGGTATGAATCGTCTTTATTTATTAGCAGCAGTAGTAGTAAGAAAAATTATTGAAGCTTAAATTACAATGCTCAGAAAGAATTCTGTGAAAGCGAAATAACTTCACGGTGCTGGTTGGCATAGTTGTTTTGGGGGGAGGCGGGGGGGGGGGGAGGCGGGGGGGGGGGTGGAGGGCCCATGACCAATTCAGATACGTAACTCTATGGCTCTCTGTGTAAATTTATGGCTTTTTGCGTAACTCTATGGCTCTCTGTATAGCTCTATGGCTCTCTGTGTAACTCTATGCAACTGCGATCTCCTGCAACTGCCGTTGCCTCCTACCCTGCTGGGCTGTGGTCGTCTTTGTAACGGAGCTGCTTTAGCTCGGCGTGGGGTCTCATGAGCCGCAATAACGAAGCCGCGACTCTTGAGATTGGAACGATCCGGTGGGCGGTGAGAAGCAAGTGGGGAGCATTTCACTCTCAGTGGCCACCACCACAACCACCAGAATCACGACAGCACCTTCATCTCTGTATGGGTAATCCTCACTCCCGGGTCCCATTGTATGTACGTACTTTGAACTTCTTTCGCACCGGACGTAGCCAACCGTGCTGATCGGAGGTGCGGGGGAAGCACAAGAAACTATAAAGAAAGGAAGCAGTTCTAAAGAAACGAGCTTTGTAGATTTAAAAGTGTACAGATCCCCAGCGGCTCCCTAATTATCGGAAGGGCGTTCCAGACGGCCGCGGAAGCGCATTCGAAAGCTCCGTGTTGTGGTGCGCAATGAGCGCAACCGCTGTACTACCTTGGTTTCGACCATCCTTGGCCGCTGGTCTCGGACGTGCTCCAGGGATGCGGCGATGTCAATCTCCTTTGTTCCTGCAGTGACAAAGAAGGCGAGAGGATGGGCGCAACGAGCACGATGGTCAAAGTCTCGGCAGTGCGGGGTGACGGGCAGTGCCGGATTAAGCTAGGTGCGGTGCCTGTAGCATGATGTTATAAAGGGGCCCTAATTTAAAAAAAAAAAACGTAAATATTGAAACGCATTTTTTAACTTGCACAGTAAAGTAATTGTATATTTTAATTTGCTACACAGCTCAGATAATGCGACAAATCGCCAACCTTAAACGTCCAGTCGTTCGTAAAAGTCGAAGGCGGTATAGTACTGTAGTGATAGAGCAAGTGCAGAATCACTGAACCGGAATTGATAGCTTGAAAGCGTTTAGCGCGGGGCCCTTGAAAGTGCGGGGCCCATAGCACCTTTGCAAAATGGGATAATCCGGCACTGGTGACGGGGCGGGGGGGGGGGGGCGGGGGGGGGCGGGGGGGGGGGGGCTCTCCGCCGCATTAGACGGTGCAGGGGGTGCACGTTCGGCTAAACGACGACTTTGTGTCGCCGTCAAACCGCTTCTGAGCGATCGCTTCAAGCGACCCTGAGGCCACACGAGAGGGGCCCTGCTGCACCACGCCCCCACCACGTGGCGATCAAAGGTGAAAATGTGTTTTTTTTTTACCCCTTTCTCTTTTTTCGAAGCAAGAATATGGCCCAAATCAAGAAAACAACCAAAATGTTGTAACGTTTTGGTTGTCATCGGACACCGTTCCTCGTCCACCAAGAACCTACTCCCGTTTTAGTTGAGGGCGGCTAAAACCCGATTTTCTTTGAAGCCAGGGAAATCTCAGTGGTTACCGGCTGCGATACCTCTAACTCCCCCCCCCTCTCCGCTTCTCCCCCGAGCCACCCCTTACCACCCTCGGCAAGCCCTGCGTTTCAAGAGAAGAGGGCTTTCATTCTGGCGGTGACGTGCGGCGTGCTGCTTTGACCGCCCACCAATCGAAAATTGAATCGCGATTTGAAAGGTGCGCCCTCGTCTTTGAAGGGAGAGCACAGAGCGCCGCGCCGCTTGCCGCGCGTGTGAAGCGTGCTGCGCTTGCTGCGCTTGCTGCACTGACCCGAGCGCTCGGTCCGAGCCACGGCACCGCCTCGCGTCCTTTTTTCATCTCGAGGGCCGCGTCATTTTAAACGCTCTCGGGGCGTGCGTAGCGCACGGGTTTTTAAATGAAGATGTACATTTTATTTTATTTTTCTTCCTTTGCTTACACTGGGAGCTCCCCACTCGCACGCCCTAACCCGCCCGCGCGTGGTAGCACTGACGCGGTGGTGGTGGATAATATGCGGTGGCGGACGCGCCGATAAATTGCGTCTGGTGGTCCGGCAGCACTTTCAACGGGACCTGTGACACCCCCCCCCCCCCCACCCCCTGCTCGTAATGCGGGGTCCACACAATGTGCTTACTGGGCCTTACTTACACGGCCCTCGATATCGCCGCTCGTTCATAAGCCACTGCTGTCCTCAACTCGACGGATCCGTGTTTTACATTTTAAGAAATACATTAATAAGAAGGTAAAAGTCCCCAAGTTTGTCCACTTGAAGAAAATAACGTTTCAATCCTTGCGCCTACTACTTGTCTACCAGACAATAGGCTGGCTGCTGAGAACAACACGGTTAAAACTATCCCGGAATTTGCTTGCTTTAACACATTCTGTTCGTATATAAATGTGTGCGTGGGGAGCGGTTAGCGCGCTGCGCTACGAACCTGGCGACCAGAGTTCCATTCCCGCTCACGGCCAACACCGGCGACGATTATCCGAATCGGTAATCGACCTCCCCTAGGTCGATTCGGCGTTAATTGAGTACCTGGTGCGGTGTGTAAACATAGCCACTGGGGAGACAAAGGCGGTCGGGCGTGGTGCTGGCCACCCACCCCCTCGTGTGCCGTGCCGGCCTTCATAGGTGCTCGCTAACAGCACCTGCCCCTACAGTCTGTTACAGGCTATACGGGGGATATTTGTATTTGTGTGTACACAAAGATCCCCTAATCGACTTAGGGGGTGGGTGGCCAACACCACGCCCGGCTGCCTTTGTCTCCCTAGTGGTTTTGTTTACACATTGTACCAGGTACTCATTTGAGGCTGAGTCGACCTAGGGGAGGCCCAAGAACCGGTTCAGATAATCATCACTGGTGTTAGCCGTGAGCAGGAATCAAACCCGGGTCACCAGGTTCGTAGCGCAACGCGCTAACCGCTACACCACCGCTCCCAATAACACATACGCACACGGACACACACACATATATATGAAAGTTTGCTGTTGTACAAAGTGATGTTGTCTATTGACCGCTCGGTGGCTCGAAGTTCAAAGCACTAGAGCCGGCACCATTGAGAAAAAGCTGGGGTTTGACCCACGATGAAACCGGGGCTCTCTCAAGCGCGGCGAGTTGGAGTTGATGGTCTCAGCCCGGAAACTGACTGGAGACAAAAGCAAACACAAAACTGTTTTTCACTTTGTGCAGCCAAACTTCACTTTCATGTAAAGCAGCTGCAGGGTTAAACGCTTTGTCGTCGTCCTCGTTGTTGTTGTTTGCCCGCCCCCAATCGATACGGAGTCATTATCAAACCGGGGGGCGGGGGGGGGGGTCTCCCTCCATCTCACCCTCCTGCATCATTATTACACCCGGGGCCTAGTACGTCAATCGCCTGCCGTGTGTGTGTGTAGCTCTCGTTATGTATGACCCTGCCGTGTGTGTGTGTAGATCTCGTTATGTATGATCCTGCCGTGTGTGTAGATCTCGTTATGGATGACCCTGCCGTGTGTGTGTGTGTGTAGATCTCGTTATGGATGACCCTGCCGTGTGTGTGTGTAGATCTCGTTATGGATGACCCTGCCGTGCGCGTGTGTAGATCACGTTATGTATGACCCTGCCGTGTGTGTGTGTAGCTCTCGTTACGTATGACCCTGCCGTGTGTGTGTGTGTAGCTCTCGTTATGGATGACCCTGCCGTGTGTGTGTGTGTAGATCTCGTTATGGATGACCCTGCCGTGTGTGTGTGTAGCTCTCGTTATGGATGACCCTGCCGTGTGTGTGTGTGTAGATCACGTTATGGATGACCCTGCCGTGTGTGTGTGTGTAGATCACGTTATGGATGACCCTGCCGTGTGTGTGTGTAGCTCTCGTTATGGATGACCCTGCCTTTGTGAACGCCCATCATTAAGCCGGAGCGTCCGTTCGTCGCGTGGGGGGCAGCCCCCATAACTTTAGGGACGTGGTTCAAACGCCTCGTTTTTTCTGCCGTCTGTCGAAATCCACGATTTAAGCCTCGCGTAACGCATCGCCGCAGTGGTTTGGAAGATAATCGAGGGTGTGTGTGTGTTCCTGCTGTTTGCTTGTTTCGATTTTTAGTCCCCACTCCTGCCCTGCCCCCCCTCTCCCCCACCCCCAGCACCTCCTGCGTATTGCTATGGATTGTGTGGAGATGTCTCAACCATGTTTCGAGCCGATATATTTTTTATAAATTGAAGAGAAAATAACCCCCCCCCCACACTCCATCTTACAATCGGGCCACTTAAATAAAAAATAAGATTACGCGTCGATGTACTCATTTAGAGAAGTTAGTCTTCGAATCTCTCTGTGTAACTCTATGTCTCCCTACATAACTCTATGGCTCTCTGTGCAACTCTGAGGCTCTCTGTGCAACTCTATGGCTCTCTGTGTAACTCTGAGGCTCTCTGTGCAACTCTATGGCTCTCTGTGTAACTGCGATCTCCTGCAACTGCTGCCACCTCCTACCCTGTTGGGCTGTGGTCGTCTTTATAACGGAACTGCTTTAGCTTGGCGTGGAGTCTCACGAGCTGCAATAAATGAAGCCCTGACTCTTGAGATTGGAATGATCGGGTGGGCGGTGAGAAGGACGTGGGGAGCATTTCACTCTCAGTGACCACAACAATGAGAATCTTTATGACGGGCGTGGTCGATAAAAAAAAAAGCTAGTACTACTTTGTGAGTGAAGTCCACAATGGTTGTCGTATAGATGGACTCGGACCCCCTTGCCGTAGAAATGGGGAATTTCCACCACCTGGCTGAGGGCTTCAAACAGGAGGTGAATGTCCACGGCTCACTTTGAAACGCACAGTAAAAGCCCCAGGTCCAGGTGCGCACCCACAACCAAAAAAAACGCTTCTCGAGAATCTCACAAACATCGCCGCCTGCGATTGCTTTGTCCACATCTAAGGACGTGGCTTCGGCCACGGCCCTTCCAGCATTATTGCCAGGATCGTTATCGACCAATCGCAGATCGCAAATCTGCGGCGCGTGATGAATGACGCGTGTCGCTACACGTCGCCGAGCAGATCGACGTTTGACGGTGGGAGTCCGTGTCTCCGCTGGGGGCGAGCGGTGACGCAGCGGTTAGCGCTGCTCTAGGAACCCGGCGACCCGAGTTCAATTCCTGCTGATGGCCAACACCAAGTGACGATTGGCTGAACCGGTCCTGGACCCCTCCCCTAGGTCGACTCGGCCTCAAATGAGTACCTGGTGTGGCGTCTAAAAATCGGCACCTAGGAGACAAAGGCGGCCGGGCGTGGTGCTGTCCAACCAACCCCTCGTGTGCCGTTCGGGCCTTCGCAGGCGCTTGCGAACGGCGCTTGCCCCAACAGTCTTTGGCCTTGTGCCTCGACTGAGGGCAGCCGGTTGCGCAGCTGCTCGCAAACCGATTGCAAGAGACGTCCGCATGCGAGCGATTGCATGATGCTGAACTGGCCGCTCGGGAGCGGCACCACCACCACCACCCCCGTGTTGCCAAGGTGCTGTGGGCACCCTGCCCTCCCTCCCTCCCTGCCTCACCTTTAGTCATGCGGTTCAACACCATGTCGATCAGGATGTACGTTCCAGTCCGGCCAGAACCGTTGCTGCGGCAAAAAAAGAGACAGAGGGAGAGAGGAAGAAGAGGTGACGACGGGTTGCAGCGCAGTCTCTCGTCCGGGGGGCACAACCAAATGTCCGGCAATCCCCAACCCTCTCTCCTCCCTCCCTCCTCCTCGTCCAAACGCGCACGGTAGAGAACGCGCCACGGCATTGCCGCTCTCGACTTGAAGTGGGGGGGGGTGGGGGAGACACGTGCGTTTTGAAGCCCCGCTTCGTGTCACGACGATTTTTAGTTGTTGTTTTTGTTTATACACCATCCCACCCCCCCCAACCCTTGCTACTGAGAACGACGCAGCTTTGAATCTGAGAATTTGTGTGGCAGAAAACTGCGGGGTTTTTTTCCTTTTTAAATTCAGATCTTACCTTCGCAGAAATGAATCGTAAACACTTTCAACGAAAGACAGCTTTTACCTTTTGCCATTAAAAAAGAAAATCAAGTCGGTTAGCTCGTCAGACGTCTCGGACGTTTACTTCCCGAGTATAGCACATCGGAGCTCAGAAGCTCTTTTCTCCATGTGCGACCAGCCCTGTGCCGCAAAGGTTTTGTCAATGTTTACCGAGACGCTTATCAGCCTACTTTTTTCTCCTGCAATCTGCCGAGTAGGGATTGGAAAGGGGGGGGGGGGGGGGGGCAATAGCGAATTGTATCCATAAACGACGTTTTTTTGGGTCAAATGAATGTGTCATTAAACCCTCCACCACCCGACACACCCAATCAGTAAGGTTCGTCAGGTAAGCAGAACATGCCAACGCGTTACTAGTTCTGCACACCGGCTGGGTGTATGGAGAAAGAGGGGGGGGGCGGGGGGTGGGAACATTGGCGGGATAACTGGTCGCAGCGTAGTCTTGCCGCGCAGCGGCTGCTGTTTGTTTCCCCGCCGCATTGCACGACGGTCGCGAAAGTCTACGTGTGCTAAAGCAGACAGTTGCACGTATTCATTTGAGTATTCGCCTTCGATCGTCCGCCGCCAGTCCCCCCGGGATGAATGGCGCGCGGTGCTGCTCGCCGGGACGTACCTGCAGTGCATGACGACGGGACAGGATCGGCCCCGGTAGCACTTGTTAACTTTCCTTCAAGAGACAAGACGGACAGAAAGAGACGCTCAGCGAGCACGGTGCACACACACAAGCGGACAAAATAACGCCGCCTTCCCGCGTCTGGCCCCGCCGCGTACATTTTTAAAAAAATATATATAGATGTATATTTATAACAGGTCTCTTTTTATTTTTATAAATCCAATCAGCCACGTGGCCTTCGGGGAATGCATCACTTCAGCAGCATTGGGTTCATCAAAAGCAAAAAATGTGTTACCGGTCGACCTTGCTTCAACCATTGTCGGTGGACTGCCAGATGTTTAAAGGCGAGAAACTGGTTTCGGCATTCGGTGTCTCATCAGCAGAGTCTAAACTAAACCAAACACATGTTTTTATTTTATCAGGTAAGGCCCACTCAGCTCTACTATAGCTCTTTTTCAGAAGCAACCTCACCACACATGATACATTTGCTCACGTTTGTTCATGTCGAAATTTACAGCAGCCACATATTCTAAACGTGGAGGGAAAAACCGGAGGACCCGGAGGAAAAAAATAATCCACGTGACCACAGCGAGAACACGCAGACTCCAAATACACAGCAGGCGTCACGTTTGGGATCCAACCCACGACCTCCTGCATACCAGGCGAGGGAGGTAACATCCCGCCACCGCGGCGCCCCGTGTCAGCTCCGCTGGACCCAATGCTGGTGAACTGCCAGGCGTTGATGGGCAAGGAATCGATGTGGGTAATGAGTTCTGTTGGCGCGTCGTGCTGCTGCACGTTGGTGACGATAGAGCGGCGCAGAGGTGAATTGTTGGCGGATAAAAAATTTTTAACTCGCAAAACGCCGCTTGGGCTGTGAGCCCGCAGTACAGGAAGCAGGTTTGGAAAACCCCGTCTGTGCAGACCGCTTAAGTGTCAGCTCCTCGGAGTCGTAAGTTGGCCGTGTCTGTTCATCACGCGACGACTGCATTCATTGGCCGCGTCGGGTGGCGGAGGGTGCGCCACACACAATTCGCATACGCGGAGATCTGACCATAAAGAATCGATTAAGAATCGTAACATTGGGTCACGAAAGCAGACGTGGGAGAAATTAATAAAAAAAAAACTGCTCATTAATTGCTCTCTCGCCTCTATCTCGTCTCCATCTCTCATCTCGCGACACCTTTAGTGTTCCCTACATGTCTCTTATCGCCCTACAACTCAACCTCCCGTCCCCATATCTCCTCCGTCGTCACCCATATTCGAGTTGTAAACCACAAGGGTAGGCGCCCCCTCCAAAAACACAACGTACGCATCCGGTGCCTCCAATGGGGGTCTGCTCGACCACTCTGACTAAACCCTACATTGAGCTCGGAATCAGAATCTATATATCCTGGAGAAATCCGTTGAGCTGTGAAGGGCAAATGCACTCGTATGGAAGCGAGCCGTCCCCCAGCTCTCTTGGCGTGCGAGGGGAGACGTCGCCTCTTGGGTTTTCTTCCTCCTCCTCCTCCTTTGGGCCATCAATTATCGGCCAGTCGATGCTTTGCTGGCAGGGCCCCAGGCCTCTGATGATCACTTTTGTGACTATGCAACTTCACACGTAAAACGAGTTGCAAATCACAAAAATGACATCAGCCGCCGGCACGTTTGCAGGCGTCGTCCGCCGCTCGACGCCGACGATGCAGCCGCCCCCACCCCCCCACCCACCCCCCCCCCCCCCCCCCCCGCAGTCGCTGGAAGGGAATGTGACACGGTCGCGCGTCGTCGACGGAGACTTTGTAAAAGTGAGGCGCTCGGGAGGCCTCGGAGTGTCGCACCACCGAGGTCCCTGGGTTCTCGAGTCACCAGGAGGCTTTTGCCCCCCCCCCCCCCCCCCCGATTAAAGCGGGTTCTCTCTCGGGAGTTGCGAGTTGATGAACCTCTATGCGAGTCCGTAGATCTCTGCGCGAGTCTATGGGTCTCTATGCGAGACTATGGATCTATGTGCATGTCTATAGGTCTCTGCGAGTCTATGAATCTCTATGCGAGTCCATGGATCTCTGTGTGAGTCTATGGGTCTCTATGCGAGTCTGCGGGTCTCGGTTTGATTCTTTAACGGGGCGCTTCCTCGCCATCTCAGAAGACCGTGAACGTCGTAGGCCTGAGGAGCCATTCTGTCCTGGACAGGGGGCTCCCGTGCAGCACACACGACACTGATCACACCGCGGTGAAGTATGGTCAACCGCCTTCCCCACACGATCACGATACTGGTGCTTTTGGGGGGATGGCGGGGGGGGGGGGCAAGGGGGGACCTGCGGAGGTCGAGGAGCGAGCGGGCGGAGGGCGGCACGCCGTGCTCGGGCCAGGTGAGGAAGTGGAACTGCGTGAGCGTGCGGGTTTCCCCCGTCTGGGTGTTCTTCAGGTAGAGACTGCGCACCAGGAAATCGTCGCACCACACGTGCTCCGAAACGAGGTTCACCTGCGGGCGGCGGGAAGAGGTGGAGGGGGGGGGGGGTTGGGGGGGGATACGGGAGGGAGGGGATGGGGGAGTCGTCACCACCACTGTCGCTGTCAATCACCGTCACCACCGCTCACCACCAACATTGCTCACCACCACAACCACCGTGGCTGTGGCGACCCGCTCACCTCGTAGATGTGATAGAGACGGGAGCCGTCCTCGGGCCAGTAGCGGAAGCACTGCTCCGTCCCTTGCTCCTCCAGCGGAGAGAGCATCACGATCACCACACAGCTGCTCTCCCACACCATCTGCCACACCACAAACAGTAAACCATATTTAGTTTCAATGTGAAATCGCCTCCACTCAAGGGGGCTATCAAGACATTGCACCCTACAATAAAATTCAAAGACAATGCAGTGATGTTTAAGTGAAAGCCACACGGGAAAATAGTCTTGCACTCCCATCCTAAAACGCACGTAGCGTGCTGGGCCACCGCCAGAAAGGCGTTCCCACATCCTCGGGGCAACGCTTGAGAAGGCCTCGACCCCTTACCCAGCGTCGAGCGCAAGAGCCGAGGCTGAGAGAGTAGTCGTTGGGTTTCAACCCCAGGCGTGTGACAGATCAGTCGGGCCCGCACGTACATTGGTCCAAGACCATGCAGAGCTCTATAGACCAGAATGGCTAACTTATACTGGATGCGAAAGCTTACTGGAAGCCAGCGCAGACCAGCCACAACACCATCGGTGCGCTCACACGCTTATTCTGATTTTACAAACGAACACAAAACAACCTCTCCCCACAAGTTGATGGCAATCGTACCATAGGCACAATAGGCTCAACTCAAACTAAACCAATTTTTTTTATTTTACCAGGTAATGCACCGCCGAGCATTGTAGCTTTTTTTTCAGAAGCGACCTGGCTATTACAAATGATAGCTCAACGAAGTGGCTTATCACGTGGAAATGTACAGCAGCCAAATACTCTAAACGCACATTGATTCAAAATGTGGAAGGAAAAGCCAGACGACCCGGAGGAAAAACAATCCAATGCGACCACGGCGAGAGAGAGACACGCAAATTTTAAATATGCAAGAGGCGTCAAGATTGGGATCCAACCCGCAACCTCCTGCATACCGGGCGAGGTCGTGAACATCTTGCAACCCTGGACGCCTCGAGGAAATCTGGCAGCAGAAGCAGCAATGTTGTTCAAAAGCTCAATGCCAATGTCGAGGTCTCAGCCGGCCAAGGCCAAGAGGGCTTCGGGTGAGCCCCCGGGTCTGTCCAACCGATGTTTTAAATCCTCAAGCGCTGGAACTCGGCCGAATTTAAAGTGCGGAACAAAGAATTGAATTGAACGTGCGGTCATGGGTGACCGACCTGGCCGATGTCCATCGACTCCACCGCTCTGACACAGCCTCCACTCGCACTCTCAATGCCGCACCTCCGATGAGCACGGTTGGCTACGTACGGTACGTACGTACAGCAGCGGAGAGGAAAATAGCTCGCAGACTGCGTAACGCATTGAATCACGTCACGCGTCCATCGTAGTGCGTTAGGGCTACTATCATTAGCATAATTATCACACATTTTAATTGTTGATAACATCAACCTTTTACTTATAACGAGGCACGAGGCCGCCGAGACCACACGCAACCTTTTTGTTCCGCGATGTCGCCGCAAAACCTCGCAACTCTGCAAAATGACCGGCATGTCCCGGCGACATTGCACGCCGGTGACGTTACACGCCGGTGACGTCACGCGCCGGACAACGACGCCGATGTGCCCCCTCCCCGTTCCCCCCCGCCGGGAAGCGGTCCGCGCGGAGCGACGACGCCGGGGTCGGCGACGAACCTGCCAAAAGTCCGCGACGGTCTCGGCCAGGGGGCTCTGCGCGGCGATGTATGCCGGGTTGCGGGGGTCGTGGTCCATCTGTCGGAATTGTTGAAGAGAAGAAGGAAATAAATTGTATACGCACATGCAGTAACTTCGCTTGTATACAAAGGGGCTTACCCATTTGCAGCGCCTTTTGGCAAGGCGGCTCGGCCGTAGAGCGGGGGGGGGGGGGGGGGGGAGGGGGGCTCGCAAGCGGAAGTTGTTGCAAGTTCAACTACTGGTTTGGGGACGGGGGGCGGGAGATGGTGGTCGACTTGTGGGAGGGGGCGGCCTTCAGCACCGTCATAGGCATGTGGAATTTAGACCACCGAGTCTGGGCGGGTGAAAAGAAGTCGGCGAGCGCCGCCGGCTCAACGCTCGCCTGGGCAGAAATAAAAAGAGCCCACTTTTGACGCGAAATATACAGGCGCACGCAAAGATCCTCCGTATAGCCTTAGCGCCTATGAAGGCCGGCACGACACACGAGGGGGGATGGGTGGCCAACAGGGGCGGAGCCAGGATTTTGACTTCGGGGGGGCTGACTTCAATATTCTGAGATATCCAGTGTTTATGTTTTCCAATGGGCGCCACAAATGTATAAAACAAATTGTATTGGATTTGAACGCGGAGTTTATTAATAGGTCGGAGCCGCTGATGTGGCTGATAAGTTCGATAAGTTCGAAAGGCTGCCGCTCAAGCAGCCTGCAGGGCAGCACACAAGGTGGCAGCCTGCAGGGCAGCACAAGGTGGCAGCCTGCAGGGCAGCACAAGGTGGCAGCCTGCAGGGCAGCACAAGGTGGCAGCACAAGGTGGCAGCCTGCAGGGCAGCACGAGGTGGCAGCACAAGGTAGCAGCCTGCAGGGCAGCACAAGGTGGCAGCCTGCAGGGCAGCACACGAGGTGGCAGCCAGCAGCATTTTGCAGCAGCCGGATATCCAGTTATCCCGATTACCGACTTTCCCAAAATTTCAGGGGGGGCCAAGCCCCCCCCAGCCCCCCTATGGCTCCGCCCCTGGTGGCCAACACCACGCCCAACCGCCTTTGTCTCCCCAGTGGCGATGTTCACACACCGCATCAGGTACTCATTTGAGTTAATTTAGGGGAGGCCCAGGGCCGGTTCAGTTAATCGTCACTGTTGTTGGCCATTCGCTGAAATCAAACTTGGGTCGCCGTGCTAACCGTTGCGTTACCCACTCCTCACCGCTCCCCTCGCACTCACGCACACACACAAAACATAAATTCGCACATCAAAGTGCCACGTGCAAATTAAGCGCAATTATGAGCAAAACGTGATTATAGGTTTGTAAATGAGTCACTCACAATGGGGCTGGCATTGATATAATCTGAACCGGAGATGTTGCCTTCTGTCTTGAGAACGACCCTGGCATGGTCGTCTGTGGGTTTCAGAAAATTGCTTTTGGTTAAGTGAGCACGAGCGTGTCATTTATCTGTCATGTGAGAATACAGCTGGGCTTGTGTGGCAGCAGCAGCAGCAACAATAACAGGGGCAGCAGCAGCAGCCGCAGCAGTCGCAATCCTATAAGTGGCAATCATCATCTTGTATAATAATAATAATAATGCCGCCATATATTTACCCATGAAAGCTTCCGCCAAGCCTTCAAAAGAGCTCCGTGTTTTGTTTCACGATTGGTCCTGCCAAGTTCGAGACCATTCCAAACGGCCGCAGAAGCACATCCGAGGGCACGCGCGATGAGAGTGACCCGTCTGTGTTCGACGGCGAACCATGCATGCGGTGCATGGTGCCACGAGGTGGCCAAATCACCGGACCTGAGCGACGTGCGGCTCTCGGGCAGTTACAAGTGCGACTCGAGAGAGGCTGAGATCATGTTTCGATATAACGTCATTGGAAATGGAGGGGGGTGGCTGGGGGGGGGGGGGGGGGAAATGTGCGGAAGCGGCAGTGGCCGGGGGGGGGGGGGTACTCGAACCTGCAAGAGGAGTGTACTACCAGGGCACTCCCGCAGATTTCTAACTGTCGATTTAATTTAATTGCAAAAGAAGAAAATCTGTGGAAGCCAGAGTGGCCCATGGTACTTAAACCTGAAAGTGGAGCCAGATGCGTTACAACCAGGGCACTCCCGCAGATTTCTAACCGTCGATATAATTTAATTTTAAAGAAGAAAATCTGCAGAAGCCAGAGTGGTCCGGGCTACTTGAGCATTGCAGCGGAGCCAGACGTGAGCACACTCCCATGGCGCTCCTGAAAATGTACAAATTAAAATAACCACAGCCAACCGTGGGGACAAAACCCCACTGTGTATGAGTGAATGGAACCTGTTAGTGTATCTATGGAGGAGGCTCGTGAAGGACGCTCCTGATCAAGTGGAGGCAGTTGCCCTCTCAACAGCAATGCAGGACAGAGGAGCGACGCTCACAACAATGAGCGGAGCAACTTCGCAGAGTAGAGGGCACAGCTGCTGCACCTGCCAGTCCTCTAAGTCAGTCATCGCGAGGCACCTGGGTCTTTTGCACACAGCGTTGGTGTACGGTGCTTTTTGCAGGAATATTTTGCTGGTTTTTTTCATGGATTTTCTGTTTGCACAGTCACACATAGTCACTTTAAGATGTTTTCCTTGTTCGTGTTTTTTGTTTGTTGTGGTTGCACCCGATTCAAGAGCCGAATGGCTCACAGGGCTATACCAAAATAAATAAACTGAAACTGTCCTGTGACCTCTTGTCGGCGAGCCTTCGACACTTCCAAGTGCACCTGGCCTGGCACAGGCGCCGTGGTGACGTCACCGTAACTTCGTGGAAAAATGGCGAGTATTGGGTACTTAAACTTCTTTTTCCACTGTACAACTAAGCCGTGCCAGGGCCGTGCCGAGCCAGCGTGGCATGGCTCAAAATGTGCCGGGGGTTGATTTTCCATCCTGGCACCTGAGCGACGCCGCTGACATCGCACGCTGTGAACGAAGTCGCCCCGAGCGCAGACGCGACGAACAAACGTAAACAACCCTGGCCCTGCTTTCCCCCACCCACCCCCCCCCCACAATCATCCAGATACGCAAAAAAAAATCGGCGGTCGAGAAGACGCCCGCGAACCGCGCGAGGCTCGCAGCGGCGCTTGCCGGACTCACAGGGCAGCACGTTGGAGTCGCGGTTCTTGGCGGCGTTGGGCGCCCGCTGGGCGACGGAGCGCGCGTTGGGCTCCGCCTGGTAGGCGCACAGCGCCACCCACTCGCGCTCCAGGCGGTGCCTGTTGCGCAGGTGGTCCTCCATGTACGACTGCGCACGGCCGCACAGACGCACGCACGCACGGACGCACGCGCGCAGTCGAAGTCGTCCGCCGTGTAGCCTGCGGCAGACTTGGCGCGAGTGCTGTTAGCGAGCAGCACTTGTGATAGGCCGGGACGTGGGCGCACGAAGGGGTGGGTGGCCAACAACCACGCCCCGGCAGCCTTTGTCTCCCCAGTGGCGATGTTTGCACACGACACTGGGTAGCCGTTTGAGGCTGAGTCGACATAGGGGAGGCCCGCGACCGGTTCAGATAATCGTCACCGGTGTTGGCCGTGAGTGGGAATCGAACTCGGGTGGACGGGTTCGTAGCGCAGTGCGCTAACCGTTACGCTAACCGTTGCGCAAAGACACAGATCCCTCGTGTAGCCTTAACAGACTGTTGGGGCGAGTGCTGTTAGGGAGGTGGGTGGCCAGCACCACGTCCAACCGCCTTTATGTCCCGAGTGGCGATGCTTACACAACGCACCAAGTACTCATTTTGAGGCTGAGTCGACCTAGGGGGAGGCTCAGGACAGGTCCAGATAATCGTCTTTGTGCCCACGAGCTGGAATCGAACTCGGGCCGCCGGGTTCGTAGGGCGGAGAGCGAAACGCCACGCCACGAACCTCCACAAACGCGCGCGCAAGCGACGAGAGATTTGTCAAGACGTGGTGCGTCTAGCTGCGTCCGTCAACGTGGCTCACGGTAACCATTTCAACTTGTGAGGCGCACAGTCTTCGTTCGCTATCGTCGAGATAGAGAGAGAGAACGACTCGGAGGCGCCAGAAAGCACGGCCAAGCAGGGAGCGGCCATGCGGTGAGCCTGCGCCGACCAACAATTGCCCAAACTCTGCGGTCCCCCTACACGTGAAGAGTTTTTTTGGGTTTTTGCGGCCACTTAATACATCCCGAAGCGGGGACTACTCGAACGGCCTTTACTTGAGCGCACCGTTCTGACATAATCAACGCGTCGTTACTTTACATAACGCGACAGATCTCGCTCCAGCTTCTCTCGGATAGGGGGGGCGGGGGGGTTGAGGGTGAGGGGGGCCCCAGTAGTGCTGTGGGGGGGCGGGGGGCATCATCACGGGATGGAGAGTGAACTTTGCCCGGCGCAAAGGGAAGGGGGACGTTTGGTGGTGCAGGGCCCAGCACCTGCAGTAGCGCCAGTACCGTCATGCGAACCCGTTGTGCGTGAAGCATTGTGGGCGAAAGGAGAACGTGATTGCCAGGTGCCCCCCCCCCCCGCCCCGTCTCTTTCTTTTATGCCGGGTGTGTTTTAAAATAAAAAAATATATATATAGCCGGATAAATAAATATATTGTATAGAAACTTCCAGTGAAAGCGTGCATTAAACTGCGTCTATTTAGTCAATAATAATTATTGGCTTTCCACACCAGTTATTATAATAACATTATCAAGCAGCGTATGTTTAAGCAAGCAAACGCTGGGACGGGACTTTGACTTAATTGGGCCTTCATCAGCAGAGTCCGGGCCCCGTGAACGAAATGGCGAAATAAATTTCCGCCGGCAAACATTGGCCTGGAAAACCCAAATCGGCAGATGGCCTTAACAAACTTCCTAATCGTACGCGGGCACATATAAAGGAGTTGTTGTTTGGCCATATTTCACCATTGCTGGTCAATATTGCTTAGTGAAGGCAGGGATTTTTTGGGGTGCGCCCGGGAACGGTTTATACATGAACTCGACACTGATGTTCGCCGTGGCTGGGAATTGAACTCGGATTCCGTCTGGGCTCGTAGCGCGGTATGCTCACCATCTCGCCGCCCCACGCATCGCTGCACTTCAAGTGCTCCCCACGAGTCGATGCCAACGTTACCCGATAATTATCACAATAACCACCCCCCCCCCCCCCCTTTGCTTTTATCAGCTCGCGTTGCCCATCCACCAAAGCTGTATACTCGTATTACCCACGCTCCAGCGTGCCGACAGCACCCGATTTACTCACAGCGGAGGTAAAGGCGCGGCCCTGCAATTCCTTGCTCACGCCACCACAACTGGCATAAGGGGCCTTCACCCTCGATGGTTGCTTGGCCTCCTCTTCCACGTTGGGCCAGACACGCGAACAAGTTACCCCCGTACACTCGACAGCACCCATGCACGACTACACGAACGCTGCCCACGAGTTCTTGAATGTAATGAAATGCAAGCAGATGGAGACAAAGAGATGGATGAGAGGGGATTCGCGTGCAATGAAGGAAAACATTGAAGCAAAAAGGTTTGCGAGCGTAGGACTTGAGCAAGGTAACATGGCTGGCAAAGGACAAACGAAATAAGCAAACAATACGACTCCTTCAGAGGTGGACACGGGGCAGAGGTGGACACGGGCATGAGGTGGACACGGGGCAGACGTGGACACGGGGATGAGGTGGACACAGGGAAAAGGTGGACGGGAGGAAGAGGTGGACACGGGGCAGAGGTGGACACGGGGCAGAGGTGGACACGGGGCAGAGACACAGGACAGAGGTGGACACGGGCATGAGGTGGACACAGGGCAGAGACACAGGACAGAGGTGGACACGGGCATGAGGTGGACACAGGGCAGAAGTGGACACGGGGATGAGGTGGACACAGGGCAGAAGTGGACACGGGGCAGAGACACAGGACAGAGGTGGACACGGGGATGAGGTGGACACAGGGCAAAGGTGGACAGGAGGAAGAGGTGGACACGGGGCAGAGACACAGGACAGAGGTGGACACGGGGATGAGGTGGACACAGGGCAGAAGTGGACACGGGGATGAGGTGGGCACGGTGCAGAGGTGGAGGCGGGGCAGAGGCACAGGGCAGAGGTGGAGGCACAGCAAGGGAGGCGGTGGGGTTCGACAGCAGCTGCAGCTTGGACGGGGGGGGGGAGCAATCGCGCGACGTGGCGACAAGGCGTTCGTCTTCTCGAATTTGCCCCCCCCCCCCCACCACTTCCTGCACCACCACCACCTCCACCATCGCTGCCAAATTCATTTGTCCTGAAACGTAACAACAAGCTGAGGAAGGGGGGGGGGGGGTGGTAGCGGGGGGGGGGGGTGCCGTGTGACCCCCCCCCCCTGCTAATTGGGTTAGGAGCGAGAGCAGCACCCCCGGTGGCACGGTGGGGGGGGGGGGTGGATGGGGGGGGGGGGGGACCAACCACGCGTGTGAATGTTAATGGCTGCTGATATCAAATGGAGCGGGCAGATCTATACAGATTTGCCAAGCGCCGTCCGAGTCAAATGGGATTGAGCAGGAAATGAGGGGCGCGCTCGCGAACGCGGAGTGTGGTGGGGGGGGGGGGTGGGGGGCGGTTGGGGGCGGATGTGAGGAGAGGGGCGGGTGCTGTCATCGCCGCTCTGACAGCTCGACAATGAGTTTAGATTACAGGGGGCCTCGGGAGCCAAACACGCGACGGCGCGCCGACCTCTCGGGCACGCCACGCTGCGATGACAGGCGTCAATAAGGACGATTGTTTTCAGCCGCCCTTCCTCTGACGCCGCCCCCTGTCCCCCACAACTCCCCCCCCCCCCCCTCTGGTTGTGGTCACGTAAAGGTCACGAACACTGCGTTTAATTACAGCCGCGACGGCGCGTACGGGCGGCTTTTGGGTAATTTTTCGACGAGAGAGAGAGAGAGAGAGACGCGGCGGGAGTTGGCGGAGAGGAGCGCGAGGCGGTACGGGGCGGCGGGGCGGGGTTGGTGGATCACGCGGCGCAGACTCTCGTGCAACTCGCGAATCGCGGCCCCTCCCGCGCTTGGGCCGTGAGGCGACGCTCGGACATGCGGTCCGGCAAGCGCGATTAATCAGTCCGTGGCGGAGCCTTTTGGCCGCTGTCCGTGCCTCCGAGCGCGTGGCGAGGGTGGGTTTCTATCCGGCAGCTCTTGCTTTCCTCACGCGCGGATGCCAGACGCACCGACGTTGATCGACCTGGCCAAACATCCTGATGCTGGGAGGCCATGAAAGCCAAAAATCAGAGACGAAAACAACGACACGATGAACGGAAGCAAAGTGCCGAATAACCGATGTTTTTTCTGCTTCTTCTGATCGGAGGGAGGGAGGGAGGGAGGGAGGGAGCGAGCGAGGGGGCGAGGGATATTTACGAGGATCATGTGTCCCGTGGTGATGTCGAGGCTGGAGGACGCGGGCTCCTCGCTCCACGATGAGACGCTGCTCCTGGGCGAGGGGCTCAGGGCAGCGGCGGCGGTGACCCCGGCGACCCCGGCGACCCCCGGGTCGCTGTGCTGGGACGAGACGCTGCTGACGCGCGACACGTGCGCCGCCTGCGGCCGCAGCAGCGGCTCGGCGCGCTCGCACGAGCGGGACGCCACTCGCTGGCGGCACAGCTCCTGAGGAGAAGGGGCGGGCGCGGAGGAGGCGCGCGGGGGCAACACGGCCGTTGGCGCGGGTACACGGGCATCCGCGTGGGTCAGAAGAATCGGAATGGGAACGTTTATTTATGCTGGGCGAGTCCGATGGGCTCTGTAAAGGTATTCTTCACAGATGTCCAGCGTGGGCCACGGGGTCAGAACGTTAAAACAATGCGGAAACGCGATCGGAGTGGAAAGCATAGGAAAGGTAAACAAATCACAAAAACATTTGACCAGGTTAAGCCCACTAAGCTCTTAGCTTATTTTTCATGGATGGTCAGTCATACGAGTATTCGGATGGACGGACAGCCGGATGGACACATGTACGGTTATATGGGCATGGTGGCGAGATGTTAACTACCTCGCCTGGTATGTAGGGGGTTGTGGGTTCCATCCCAACCCTGACGCCTGCTATATATTTGGAGCTTACATGTCTCTCTCCCCGTGGTTGCATGGATTTTTCTCCAGGTCCTCCGGTTTTTCCCTCCACATTTAGAATCAATGTCACGCGTTTCAAGTATTTTGGCCGCTATAAATTTCCACGTGATACGCCACTTCATTGGGCTATCATTTGTGGCCTGGTCGCTTCTGAGACAAAAAGCTATATAGCTCAGTGGGCCTTACCTGGTAATATAGTTTGAGTTAGTTTTAATTTGTACAGACAGATGGACAGTCAGATGGCCATATGAGCATTTGGATGGACGGGGCATTCAGACGGACGGATGGACGGAGGGATGGAGGGGCAGCGGGGACAGGTGTACGGACAGACAGATGGTCAGTCGTCTGGGACGATTAGTGCGGTTGGCTACGTACGGTGCCAAAGAAGTTCAATGCACGTACACACAGATAGTCGTGGCAGGGACATTTAACCCGGGTTCTTCGCAACTAGCGCGGCCGGCTACGTGCGGCGCGAAAGAACTTCAACGCACGCGCACAGACAAACGTGGCAGGGTCATTGAACTCAACGCACACGTAACAGAACAGACGGGCGGCAGTGAGGGCCCCCCCCCCCCCCCCCCCCCACCAAACCTGGTAGTCGGCGGTGGCGTGCGCGCCGGGCTCCGCGTCGAGGCTCGTGTACTCGGAGCGGCGCTTGGCCCGCGCGCCGCCCCAGACCCCGGCCGCGACTCCGGCGCCGCCGCTGCCTCGCGCGCAGTAGAACGCGGCGGAGGCGAGCAGCAGGCCGAGGACGCACGCCACAGAGAGCACGACGAGCGCCGCATAGCGGCCTCCGCCCTCGTCGTGGTCGTGCGGGGAGAAGCCCTCGGGGGCCGACTGCTGCTGGGCGGCAGAGTGAGGAGTGGGGTGGGGCGGGGGGGGAAGAGGTAGAGGGCTGAGAAGGCTGCGAATGCACTCGGGCTCACTTGCGAGGCCGGCGCTCCCGAATCCCCGCTGCTACAGCGGTTACATCCTGTCCTGTTGTTGAGTGTCATTATGTTGAGCCGCTAGATGCCAATGGAATAAATGGGCTAAGTTTGGTGTTCGCGGAAATTCCGGGGTTTTCATCAAATTCACGGATTACGCCGGTTGGGTTTGCCCGGTATCAGCTCGGTGTCTAAAAGACACCCTGTAACATTAACACACACGGATATATATCTATATATATATATCTATCTATGACTGAACGTTGTCGTACGCGTTCAGCGGGAAGAGTCGTCGACCGGGCTCGGTGAGCAGCAACGTGGCTCGAGAGAAGGCGGTGGCGCGCTTAGCCGCACACAGCCGCACGCCGTGGAGGCCGTGCGGCGGTGCGGCCACGCGGCCACACGGGGCCGTTCACCCCCACGCGCGTTACGATGACACGGAGAGTCCTGGCCCCTCTCGCCGGCGCGGTGAAGTGCTGCGATCTGTTCATCCGTGACCAGCCCGATCGACTGACTGTTTTATATGTGTACACGTGTGTACATGAAAAACAAAGACAGAGATTCCCCCCGTGTAGCCTTAACAGATTGTTGGGGGCAAGTGCTGTTAGCGAGTAGCACCAATGAAAGCCGGCACGGCACACGAGGGGGTGGGGTTGTCAGCACCACGCCCGACCGCCTTTGTTTCTCCCAGTGGCGATGTTTACTACACACCGCACCAGGTACTCATTTGAGGCCGAGTCGAACTAGGGGAGGAGGTCCAGGACCGGTTCAGATAACCGTCACCGCTGGTGTTGGCACGTGAGCGGGAGTCGAACTCGGGTCGTCGGGTTCTAAAAGCGCAGCACGGTAACCACTGCACTGCTGCTCCCCCGTATGTCTGTACACACGCGCGCACACACACGGGTTCGCAACCCTCACCATTGTTCCAACTGCTACCGCGATATCGCCGGACTGCCGTGTGCTTGGAGGGGCAGCATTCCCCTCCAAGCACACCCGCTGCAAGGCTGCTAAAGTGGTTCGGATGCGGCAGGAGACCGCTGCAGGGAGGGACTCGCTAAGCCCAATTCTTGTCCTGGCGCCCCGCATCCCATCACAGAGGGTCCGACGGTGGTTAGGAGATGTTAACTACCTCGCCTGGTATACAGGAGGTTGTGGGATTGATCCCGACCCTGACGCCTGTATATTTGGAGTTTGCATGCTCTCCCCGTGGTCGTGTGAATTTTTCTCCGGGTCCTCCGGTTTTTCCCCTCCACATTTATAATTAACACCACGCGTTTAGAGTATTTGGCTGCTATACATTTCCACATGATAATAAGCCGCTTCGTTGAGCCATCATTTGTGATAGCCAGGTCGCATCTAAAAAAAAAAGAGCTATATAGCTGGCAAAATAAAAAAGAGTTTAGTTTGACATTGTGTGTCTGCTGAGTTGGGAAGTGGTGGGCGCAGTGGCGAGCGTGCCGTGCAACGATCCCAGCAACCCGAGTTCGATTTACATTTCCTGCCAATGTCGGGTGACGATTATCTGAAGCGGTCCCGGGCCTGCCCTAGGTCGAGCCAGCCTCATCAACACTGGGGAGACAAAGGCGGCCAGGCGTTGTGGTGGCCGCCCACCCCCTCGTGTGCCGGCCTCCGTAGGTGCTCGCCAACAGCGCTTGCCCCGACAGTCTGTTAAGACGGAGTGGGGCATCTTTGTGTCTGCCTAGTTGTTAATCCTTGGACGTGCCACATCTTTCTCTTACCCCTGCCACGGCAGAGGCAGCGAAGGGGGGTGGGAAAGACGACACTTGCCAAGAAGGAATGGGCGAACATCCTGCTACCACGAACTTGTATCTAATTAGACTCCCACTGTGCATGCGCTGGATTAGTAGTAGCCATTGCAGCCGCCCCGAAAACTAATTACGGTGTGAACAAACAGCCGTGAAAGTGCCATTCAGGCAAACAAAGCGAAATTACTGGACAGAACTTCTCTCCTCTCTTGCCAAGTGCCCGCTCGGGCGTTCCGACAACACCGCCCGCCCACCCCCCCCAATCCCATCCTTCCTCCTGCCACCACCACCCCTGCCCCATGCCTCCTCTCTTTACCACATCCCAGACAGCTTTCCAGATCGGCTTCCATGCCCCGATCATCATCCATCCTCAATTATCATCAATTATCATCTGTGTATTTGAGGTTTGCATGTCTCTCTCCCCGTAGTTGCATGGATTTTTTTTTATCCGAGTCCTCTGGTTTTTCCCCCGATATTTAGAATCGACGTGCGTTTAGAGTATTTAGCTGCTATACATTTCACCGCGATAAGCCACTTTGTTGAGCTATTATTTGTGGCCCGGTCACTTCTGAAAAAGAGCTATATAGCTCAGCGGGCCTTACCTGGTAAAATCAAAAATAGTTTAGTTGAAAATAGTTGAGTTTTTATCAACTATCATCTCTCATCGTCAATCATGATTCATCATCAATTCTCATATATCATCATTATTAATTACCACCCATCATGATCATTAATCATAATCAGCCATCATCATCAATAATCATCTAAATCAGCCATCGTTAATCCACTGCTGGATGGATGAAGGCCCCTCACCAGGCCTGCGATCGTGGAGAGCTGTTTGACCATACTTCACCTAACATATATACACAGGCGCGGTTACGCCAGGAATACCGATTTGGTAAACACATAAAAAAACCAAGCCGTTGCCCTCCGTCAGTTTAGGTCCCATAGCTCCAATGATCGCAAAAAAAACCACACTCAACGAGTAAATCTAGGTAGATTTACAGACATTTGTCCACCCACCCGACGGATCAAGGCCTCCTTGCAGCGTATTGCCTTATCGCGGGAAGACATTCGACCATACTTCACCGTGCCGGTCAGCGTGGTTTGGAGAAGGGGGGACATAAAAATTTGTTCTCGCCGAGTCCGCGACTCGCACCGGTGCCCCTATCCGGTGCTTGGAGCTACTCGGGCCTACAGGGCCCAAAGCCTAGCCTCCGCATCGAAGCGGTGGCCCCCCACACACCCAATGGAGAAGTCCACAACAAAGTCTGGCAATATAAACACTCTTGATTGGCCGCACGGGATCACCCGCGCCAAGCAACACTCTAGAAATAGTCGTGAGAAGTCAAATTGTTTGTTCCATCGCGTGTGTTAGTTGAACTTCTTACGCACCGTACGTAACCAACCGCGCTAATTGAAGGTGTGGGCGGGGGGGGGCGGGAAGGAGAACCTAAATACAAAAATCAGTTCTAAAGAAAATACGTTTTCAATTTGGATGATTTAAAAGTGCATAGCTCCAGTGGCTTCCTAATATTGGAAGGAAGACCATTCCAGACGGCCGCAGAAGCGCATCTGAAAGCGCCACGCAAAGCGGTGACCTCCGTCTTTGTTCGATGGCCCAGCAGTCAAAAGCTGCTGCTGCTGCTGCGAGGATGACCACCGGAGCTCGCGTGATGGTTTACGCTCCTTGACGAGATAGGCAAGGTATTGTGGTTCATTTGTGGCAAGTGCTTTGTTCCGTCGTGCGTTTGCGCACGGTAACATCTACAATTGCATGGGATGCTGCTATGGTGTAATGGCTAGCACATTCGAATTTCCATATAGAGGTCACCAGTTCTTAACCCCCCCCCCACCCCAGCAGTCTTCCTTATTTTAATAATCATTATTTAAATATTCTTGTTTACCCAGGAAAGCTTCACCGAGCCTCAATGGCTCTTTTTCAGGAGGTGTCCTGCCAAGTTTACGCAGTAGGGGCGATGGTTGCTTTGCATATTCCACGACTTGGATAAACAGGTACACCACAGTAAAGCCTGTTTTTTGATAGGGGCGCCACGGTGGTGAGATGTTGACTACCTCGCCTAATGTACAGGAGGTCGTGGGTCCGATCAAGACCTTGACACTTGCTGTATATTTGGAGGTTAGTTTGACACGTAGGCTTTCGCGGCCAATATTATCCATAAGAGGTGTTTGGGTTAGAGTGCGTATGTATAGTAAGGTTTGTCACGTAAACGTTTACGTGACAAACCTTACTAATTGGCTGTGTCGGGTGGTGGCAAGGTTTAACGACACATTTATATTCACGCGATCTAATCCAAAAACCTCTGATGTATATTTGGAGTTTGCATGTTCTCCCCCGTGGTCACGTGGATTTTTCTCCGGGTCCTCCGATTTTTCTCTCCACATTTAGAATCAACATCAACGCGTTCAGAGTATTTTGGCTGCCGTAAATTTCCACGTGATGATAAGCCACTTTCGTTGAGCTATCATTTGTGGTCAGGTCGCTTCTGAAAAAGAGCTACACAGCTCCGTGGGGCCTTTACCTGGTAAAATAAAAAAATAATTGAACATTCAGTTTAAGTCCATACAGCATGTCGCGTGTGGTGGGGTATAGTATAGGTACTCCCACGTCTTCGGAGGTGACTGGAAGAGTAGGCCAACACACCTTTTGGAGGGGCTCTCCAGAGCTCCCATTTAGGTGGGGAGGCCCCATCCACTAAAGCAGTGACGTGGGCAAGCAATGGAGAATTATCTAGGTATAGAGAGGAGCAGAGCACGGACGTGGGTGTGGGCCAGGGGGGAGGGCCCAGTTCCGCGCATGCATCTTCTCTCCCTCTCACGACCCTGGCACACAGGGCCTGTGCGATTGGGATCGTGGATCGTCGATTCAGCCGGGCACAAATAAAACAAAAAAATATTCTGCCCTGTTTTTTTTTTTTACGAAACGGGAGAGGAGAACGACAACCCCCATTGCCTTGGCATGTCACACACTCTCACCCCGCTCCTCCACCTTTCACTTGTATAACACACGCCAAAACTACCATTTGACACGAGCTCTTATACGGTGAGTCGCTTTGATCTACGCGTTATTGGTTTCTTTAAAATCTTGGGAATCCTCGGAGAGAGACTTAATCATCAGTAGCCATGATCAATCCACTGCCGGATAAAGGTCTCGCCGGAGTACGTTCCCTCGGAGGACGTGCCACCCATTTGGCTGCCATTCCGTCATCATTCTCACCAACGGCTGTCCTCCCGAGACACGGTTAGTTGTTCTGCCTGAGCCGACTTACTTTTGTTTATGACAAAAAACAACTCCACGCTTTCCATCACTTTTAAAACATAAATATATAATAGGCGATGTTTCGGGGAAAATTGCCGGTCGTCATAGCCCTAAACGACATTGATTTACTTGCGATGAATTTGAGCCATTTCCGAAAATGTCATACGCTATATATATGTTTTTCTTTCGGTTAAGGCCGCAGTGTAATTGACGAAAGTGGTGCATTTCTCTATTAGTTTTGCTTGCGCACCAGTGCCATTTCGGCAGCAGCAGCATCGCCAAATAATTCGTTTACTTTTCTTAATGGTCGGAATGATGTCATTAACCTGCGTCTGTTCCTATAATCCATTCGCTCCTTCTTTCTGCGTCTCAATGCAATTCCAAGCGTCGAATCTCTCCGCTCATGCTCCTCCGCGAAGCCGTCTGAATGTAAAAATTCAACGACAAAAAATATTAATATATTCCACGCGGGAAATATTCAACGTGGGGGGAAGAATAGATAAAAATGCGAGCTTTTTTATTATTTTGTTTGACATTACTTACGGTAGAGGAGAAACTGAATAAAATAAAAATGACCTGCCAGGCCGAGTATAGCATTGTCCTGAAAATAGGTGCAGAATAACTCATTTGAGAATGTCAGCGGCGTGATATTGACGCATGGGGGGGGGGGGGGGGGAATAACGATGTGGGGCGTGCGGGACATTGGGGCGGACGATACGCGTTTGCGAGGTTTCCTGCCGAAATAACGTGGGCGAGGTGGTATAGCATACACCGCGTCCCGCGTATAACGGCGGGGGTGCTGGGCGATTTTCAAAGGCACGCTAAAAACTAGCAGAAAATATTCTTTGGGAATTGAAAAAAATATATATTATAGTCTTGGTTCTTTCGGTAAAGTCACGTAGAAGGGAAACAATAAAATAATAAAAAATATAAAACAATTATTGTTTTTTTTATATATATATTCTTGGTTATTTCGGTAAAGTCACGTAGAAGGGAAACAATAAAATAATAAAAATATAAAACAATCATTGTTTTTATTATTTTATTGTTTCCCTTCTACGTGACTTTACCGAAAGAACCAAGAATATGAATCCCTGCAGTCACGAAAGCTTTAAATCAAAATATATATTATTACAACTTCCAGCCCGAAGCTTAGAAAAAAAAAAGTAAGGCCTCTGCATTCACACGCCGCGCACGGATACGCTACTCGCAAGGCGGTTCATACTACTGCACTGTGACAGCCAGATTTGTGGCTATCGCCTGATGAAGCTAGTTGTAATTACTGGCGAAACGACGTACTCAGTTTATAAATGTTGTGGCTTGGCTCTCCAACACACAACCGGTGTGCCGCACTAGTGACGAATTGGCCACGTTCTGTTTACGTGACAACCCTTACTAGTTGGCTGTGTCGGGTGGTGGTGGGTTTTAAAGACACATTTACAAACTCTTTGGTTCTTTCGGTAAAGTCACGTAGGTAGAAAAGAAAAATATAATTAAAATTAAAACGTAAATTAAGACCGCTTGTGTTGCGATCGAAACGTCGTAATCTATTATTTATTTTTCTATTTACGTGACTTTACCGAAATAACCAAATTCCTGCGGTCGCGAAAGCTTCAAATCAAGACATTTATATATTTACGCGATCTAGCCCTAAAAACCTCTACCATGGTTGAAATTGGTCGCGAAAGCCGACCGCGTGTTTTTATTTTTGTGTTGCGGAAATACGGATGTTTGTGAACGCAGTCAAATAGTCCGATAGCTTATGTCGTAACAATACCACGTGTATATAATGCGCACCACGGTTTGTATGAAAACTGTTTCAGCGCCATCGACTGAACATCGAAGCGCTCTTTCGCCAATCACGCCATGCGTGGTGAACAGGTAACCACGAGATCTTTTACTATTCAACCCATTTTGTTTTTGGTGATGCTGTGTTGGCAGTGTTACACAATCGCAAACAAACGAAAACTCAACACATTTGTCAATAGCACTGAACCAAAAGTGGCGTTTCAGGCAACGGCCCTTCAGGTGTTGTCTACTCAAGCCTACTCGCAACCCGGCTCGTTTTCAGTGCGAAATGAAGACGCCCTCCATGGTACATATCTTGATTCCATTTATAACAGAGTTTGTAACGACTGCCTTCATGTGCACTGTTCATTCCCAATGAATTAAGTGTCCTTTCCAAATCATTTGTATAATCTCATTTTCACCAGGCAACGATTTAAACGTTTTTTTACATTGTTTTGACACCTCTGATTAGCACTGTTGGCAAAGTACTGTGCAAAAGAAGTTCAACATACATACATAGAGAGCAGTGGTTCTTAACCTTTACCCAGCCTGCACCCCTTTGCTTCTTAATCGTTAATTTTGTTTTATATAATGCTAATAAATACGAAGGGATGATGAAACGAAGTAGTTGTAACTTACGTCCCCGTGCTTAATTTGTGGTTTCGATGATTATTTACCTACTTTGTGGTTCTTTCTGTAAAGTCACGTAGGCAGAAAAATAATAGAATATTATTATTTGTATTTTTATACCCACGTGACTTTACCGAAAGAACCAAAGAGTATGGATTTATGCAGTCACGAAAGCTTCAAATCAAGTTTATTTACCTGCTGACATAAAATCTGTCCATGTCTCGCTACCCCCCCCCAGAAAGGGCACTGATATAGGGGCATGTGGTGGTGATTGGTGGTGTAGCGATGAGCACGCTACATTATGAATCCGTCGACTGGTGAAGTATGGTCAAAACAACCTCCACGGCCGACACGGCGTGGGGGAAGGCCTTCCTTCATTCAACAGTTCTTTACACAAAGTGCCGGATATTATATGTGCATAAAGTGTGACTTTCTCATTGTTTATGAATAAGAGTATTTGGTCATAATATAACATTTTTTGGGTTAGATTGCGTAAATCTCCTAATGTGTCGTTAAAACCCGCCACCACCCGACACAGCCAACTAGTAAGGGTTGTCACGTAAACAGAACGTGGCCAATTCGTCACTAGTACAGCACACCGGTGTGTTGGAGAGCCACAACATTTACAATCTGAGTACGACGTTTCGCCAGTAATTACAGCTAGCTTCATCATGGATGATATTGGTCGCGAAAGCCTACGTGTTAAAGAGTATTTGGACTTGCATTCTTAATAACACAGTGCCACGTATTTTAGGATTTCGATTTGTTTCAAAGCATTCATTCATCTCTCAAAAACCGATATTTATTTAAAATAACCTTAATTTCCACAGATCTTAGGTTAATGAACAATTTGCATTACCATTGTATAAATAATTGACCAACAATTGCACAGTGGGCTATATACGTAAAATACACACGAGGTATGTGTTCCAGATTTTCCCGATTAATCTAAACAACAAAAATCGGTCGTACATATTTATAAGATTGTATATTTTTTATGATTGATAAAAAAAACTGTGAGGCCACAAGAAGTCGCAGGGAGTGACATCTCACCGCTAGCTTTGTCCACACCCTAAACTTCCATCGCGTGACGTAATTTTTGACGTTAAGCAACACCAGTTTTGCTTTAATTATAAAAATGTGAAAATGTTAACATTCACATTATTATTCTTGGTTAAGTCACGTAGAAGGAAACAATAAAATAATAAAAATATAAAACAATATATTTTTATTATTTTATTGTTTCCCTTCTACGTGGTGACAGTACCGAAAGAACCAAGAATATGAATCCCTGCAGTCACGAAAGCTTTAAATCAAAATTCACATGATTGTTTTATAGATGGCAAGGCAACGTAAGACATTCACAATAGATTGGTATTTTTCTAAATGATTACATTTAGTGCGGATATAATGCGCGTTAAAAAGGAAGTTCTATATTTAAATACAAAACTCATCCCTGAGTGCACACTAATGTACGACGTTGAATCTGTAAGGAACTGGCCGACTATTTTTGGTTGAGTACCTTCCTGAGCATGGATTCAGACACTCGGTGAGATTTTCTATTTTTTTATTGCAATCGCATATTTTTTTTATATATTGCATCTATTTTTAAAATGAAAATTTTGCTACTCAGATCTCTCGTAAAAAGGAGATATGTGTGTGTGTGTATAGTGTCAATGGGTCATCATCTGGTCAAAAATACCGATTTTACTTTCTTAAGCTGCATAAAAAGGATTATTATTATGATTTAGTGTCTAACGATCGCAGGACAGTGAAAGTTGGCGATGGCTTGCGGGGGAGGTCTTCATACAGCAGTGGATTGATCATGGCTGACGATGATGCAATGATGATAGTGTACAATTGTCATCTCCGTTAAACACGAACAAATAGTTGTCAAAATGCAAATCTCAGTAGAGAAGTGAATTAATCAATATACGAGTGTTTTAAACATTTGCACGTATATGTGTTTTGGCTTCTTTCGCACCGTACGTAACCAACTGCGCGCCGCATTATTTAGTTAATATTACATTTCTTTGAAGGTTTCTACCTGGAAAATCCCTTGAGATGGAGCCGTGCCGTCTGCAACGGTGTGTGTCCAGGGTGGCAACTGACGCCACATATCCGGCAAACGTGTATCGACACGTAGAGTTATACGCACACATTAAAAAAAATGTGTGGCTTCTGCGCTTGTAATTCACGTGGCATTTAGCCGTGTAAATCTGCTGTTGGCCATATCGCAGAGTGGAAATAATATGCGTCATGAATGTTGACATTGCTTGGGATATTTTATATATGTATATATTTATTATTTTGTACATATCAAGACCAACAATACCGTACCAATTTATTTACATGTTGATTGCCTTCGACAGTTTATAAAATGTCATGAACGTAAATATTTGGTTGAAGAAATAACTTTTACCTGACCAAATAAGATCCTTTCGATTTAAAGCTTTCGTGACTGCAAGGATTAATGATTAATCTTCTTTGGTTATTTCGGTAAAGTCACGTAGAATGAGAATAAAAAAATAAGACAATTAAATTCTCACGACGTTTCGGCCACAACACAAGCAGCCTTCATCAGGTGAAAGAACAGAACTCTCGTCCGACAGTTCTGCACATGATGAAGGCTGCTTGTGTTGTGGCCGAAACGTCGTGAGAATTTTATTGTCTTATTTTATTATTTTATTCTCATTCTACGTGACTTTACCGAAAGAACCAAAGAAGACAAATAAGATCCTGTTAAAAACTCGGCATTTATCCCACCAAATATATTTTGCTTCGATTTCTTAATAATAACGAGTTCAATAATAATGTTACCAGTTGTAGATATGAACTGTG